TATATATAGGCTTTCAGCCTCGAGAACTGGGCCTCGACTTGAAAAGGCCATCATTACGGGCCGCCGGTTCAACCAATGGATGGCACCCGCCCACCTTCAACCAACGGGAGCATGCCACGTGTGCCCCTCTCCCAACGACTATATTTCGGCAACACTGGGATGCCCCCGAATGATAGCCTCCGGTTACTCACTCACCGCAGCCTTCAGGCAACGAATTCCACCAAACGCCTTCGAGCCCGTAGCGGCATAAGCCTTTGGCTTATCAATGTTATCAACCCTCGGGGGCTCATCAACTCATCATAACTCCTTCAGCCCGAGCTCGCCTTCGGCCTAAAGGAGTGGGGGACTGGGATACACCCCTCGGGGATCATACACAACAAAAATTTCTTCATGCAACCCCTCATCACAATACATGCAGACAATACATCTATGCTTTCCTCAGAAAACCCTCGACGTGTGAGGGACTGAGGGGGAGCCCCCGGCGAACATGCGAAGGACCTTCCCTCAGAAAACACTCGACATGTGAGGGACTGAGGGAAGCCCCCGGCGAACATGCGAAGGTTACGAATACCTTCCCTCAGAAATCCCTCGACATGTGAGGGACTGAGGGAAGCCTTCGGCAATCAACAGAAGACAAGTTCTCAAACAAAGGCACCCAGACAGGCGATGAAGCCCCCGGAAGAATCAACACATCTACTCCTTTTCCCTCAAGTACCTTTCGGCAAAAGGAGTGAGGGACTCCTGATGGAGTATATGGCCCAGGAACCCCCGGCCCATAGACTCCTACTTCTCCTACACAAGTCCATTGAGCCCAGGAAACAACTCAGGCCCAAATACATCGGCTCAAGCCCCAAGATAGCCCGGAATACACACTGGGGTGCCTTCGGCCTCCTTGGCCGAAGGCTCTAGAACTCACAGGATAGCCTTTTTGGCATAAGAGGCTGCTGGGAGAAAACGGGCGAAAACATGAGCCTTCGGCATCGTTACGCCCTCGGCATCTGAGAAGTCCTCGGCTACACAAGGAGCCCTCGGCTGCACGAGGAACCCTCGGCTACACAAAGGAGCCTTCGGCTGATTAAGCTCAATCATCGAAGATTCCTTTTAGAGACAGCCAACCACCGCATTTAATGCCGCGTCGCATCCACCAACCGCATTCAATGCGGTTGACGTACCACTGCCGGTGCCACTAGGCTGATGTGACCCTTCGGCCGTTGGATTACTGACACGTGTCCTCTCATCGCATTTATTGCTGCTATAAATAGCAGCCCATTTCTCCTTGTAATGGAGATCATCTACACCACAACTCCATATCTCGAGTTCATTTAATAAAATCGACTCTCTCTCCTCCTACTTGCTCTGACTTCTCTCTAAGTTATCCCCGTAATAACCCCTCGGATAAGATACCCCCCGGGTAGACTGTCCATCATATATGTATGTTAAATCGTTTCAAGATGCTTGTTAAATCGTTTTTTATATGAATGATTATATGATTCGTTTTTTATCTATGATTGTATTATTCGTTTCAATAGGCATGTTAAATCATTTTTTTATATTACATGTATGTTAAATCATTTCAATATGCATGTTAAATCGTTTTTATATGAATGATTATATTATTCGTTTTTGGTTTAATATGCATGATTATATTATAGTTTGCTACTATTCGTTTTTTGTTTATATATATGCCTAAAAAATTTGCTCCCCTCATGTTAAACTAAATGTTTAACATGTTTAATTAATCTGTTTGCCGAAAATTATTTAAAATAAAATGGTAAAACTGTTTTAAAAAAGTGATTTCGGAAAATGTTTTATAAAACTGTTTTATAGAAAAATAATCGTCTAAATATGGCTATTTTTATAAAACTAATCTTTATAAAACAGTTTTTTATAAAACAGTTTTATAAAACTGATTTTTAGAAAACTGTTTTTATAAACTGTTTTATAAAACTGTTTATAATCTTTTTTGTGAAAAACTGTTTATTAAAAATGATATTTACAAAATGGCTGTTTTTATAAAACTGATTTTTGAAAACTGTTTTATAAAAAACTGTTTTTAAAAAAAGTGATTTCGGATAATGTTTTATAAAACTATTTTATAGAAAAATAAACTGTCTAAATATGACTATTTTTATAAAACTGATCTTTATAAGACATTTTTTTATAAAACAGTTTTATAAAACTGATTTATAAAACCGTTTATAAACTTTTTTATGAAAATCTGTTTATTAAAAATGTTATTTATAAAACTGATTTTTTAAAACAGTTTATAAAAAACTGTTTTTTAAAAACTGGTTTTTAAGAACAGTTTTTTTGTGAAACTGTTTTTTTGAAAATTCATTTAAAAAACTGTTTTATAAAAACCGTTTTATAAAAACTGTTATAAAACAAATATTTGTATACCGAAAAGACCGTTTTTATAAACTGTTCATAAAACCGTTTTTACATATAATGAAGTTATAAAAAATATAAAAATGTATAAAAAGTTTACCAAAATAAAATACCTACAAAATACCTATAATATAAAAATAAAATATGTCCCCTCATGTAAACTTCCCAAAAAGTTTAACATGTTACCTCCAAAAATGTATTATTTCAATGTTACATTAGTCAAATTCAAAAAACTACCACCCCCCATATTAAACTTGAACATAGTTTAATATGTCATAACAATTTTTAATTAATAAAACTTTTTAAAACATTGTTCTATTATAATAATCACACTAACATTTAAAGATATGAATTAATAAATTTTAGATGAGTAATGAACAATCCACATCTCAGGCTCGCCCGAACTACACCCCCCAGACAGCAGCGGAGCGCAATAATGAGACCGCTCATTGGGTGACAGCTGAGCAGATTGCTTTGTAAGTAATTATGAACTTTTTCTAATATCAAATAATTTTGTATAATGTCAAATAATTTAATCAAAATCTATTAAAAAATATAACAAATTTTTTAAAGTGATCAAGATGTCCTAAATCGGATCAAGGCCATCATCAAAGGACATTTTAGGGGTACTTGGATTTCCTACACGGAAGTAGATGCCGAGGTCCGCGAACTTTGGTGGAACTTGTTTAAGGTAAAAATAAATGAATTTTCTCGATTTAAATGTAGTAACTTAAAATTTGATAAATAATAAACTAATTTTATTTTTTTTAAATAAAGGCCCAACACCGATGGCTTGAAGCGGATGGTCCCGCCATCCTTAAAGCGTATAATGCAAGAGTTTCGTCTTGGATGGTAAGTTCTTTTAAACGCTACCGAAAAGACATGAAGAAGCCCGCATGGATTGCCGATGATGTGTGGGCCAACCTTGTTAACCATTGGTCCACGGATCCGAAGTTTGTGCAACGAAGCGCAACCGGTAAGAAAAACCGGATGTGTGAAAAGGCTTTGGAGACCCAATGGCATGGGGGCCGCAAACCTCTTCCTCAGCATAAAAAAACTCTTGTAAGTTCTAATTCAAAAAATAAATATAAACAATCCTTCATGTTTACAATTAGTTTTGGATTTTAAATCGTTTGGAACCATGTAGGCGGGACCCGAGAAAAAGAGGGTCTCGTATCTGAAGGTGTTAAAGCACTGTTGGACGAAGGGCGGGGACGATTCGGAAGCCGACCTTCCCCCTCGCATCGCTGAAATCGAAGTAAGAAATACACTTGTGCTCTTTAATCTTTTAAATAAAAAGTTCCTAACTTGAATTAATCTTGTACATGAAGACGAAGTATCACTCAACCGTTGAAAATAAGCGTGCCGAGCTTGGCTTGATGGAAGAGGATGACCTCGCTTCTGATGAGGATGATGAGGCGATTCTGGAGGCAGCTGGGGTTTACAAGGGTCGGGTTCCGTGCTTGGGTGCCGAAGGCCAACGGATTTTGCTCAACCGCGACGGCGCTTCTTCTCCTCGTTCGCGGCGTGGTGAGGATCCTCAGATTGCCGAATTGCAGCGACAATTAGAGGAGCAACGCCAGAAGGATGAAGAAACAAGAGTCCGGCTTGAGATGATGGAACGGCAAATGAATATGTTCAATGCCGCCTATCAGCCTCCGCCGTATGTGAGACATCCTGAAATGACTCCTCAAATTCCGCAAATGGGCAACTTCCATTCCAACTCCGGGTTTAACATGCCCTCCTATGGATCCTTTCATGATCAGTCTTGGAACAACATGTTTCAGACACCCGTAGGCAGCCGCGGAGGATCCAGCCGCGGAGGAGCCAGCCGCGGAGGAGCCAGCCGCGGAGGAGCCAGCCGCGGAGGCACCCGAGGAGGCACCCGGCCCGAAGAGCCCGAAGAGCCCGAGCAGCCCCAAGAGCCTAGTGATTTTCATTATTATGAATGACTGTAATTGTTTATGCATGAATTTTCTATTGATTTAAATGTGTGTGAATGATTTCTTTTCTATTAAATTGTTTATGCATGAATTTTCAATTTTCTATTAATGTGTATGAGTGAATTTATGTAGCATTGAATTCTGTTTTTCAAAATAATTAAAAAACGTATTACAATTTTTAAAAAATAAATTGTAAATATTCTTTTCAAAACAATTAATTTTTTTAAAAAAATTAAAAAGAAATAGTCACGGACTAATTCCGTGACTAAACTAGTCCGGAATTCTTTTTCAAAACAAATTAATTTTTTTTAAATTAAAATAACTAGTCACGGATTTTGACCGTGACTAATTTGAAAAATTTGAATTTGAGCTCTAAAAATTTGAATTCGGAATTTTGAATTTTGAAATATTTGTCACGGATTATGACCGTGACTATTTTAAAAAATTTGAATTTTGAATCTGTAGTCACGGACACCGTCCGTGACGAAATTTAATTTGACTGTTCGGAGAAGTACTCCGGTAACACTGTAGTCACAGAAATGTGCCGTGACTAGTGATAGGCTCGTTCCGTTCCTATCTTTTCACCCATATTTTGGGTGTTAATTGTCTAATTTTTATAATTAATCGGGTGACTATTGGGGGTTTTGAATGAAAATTTGTTATTTTTCTGTCCCGGTGGCATTCATTTTCAGTTTAGTAGTTTTCCACACAATTTGATATTTTTGGAGTAATTTGATTGTAAAAATGCATATGATTAGCGGTTGTGGTGAGTTGTGATTTTATAGGCCGAATTTGTTGTGAATAACACATTTTATTTGGATCGGGCATTTTGACATCTTGTTAAGATTTATTTGGCAAACAGCCCAAAGAGGAAAAAAAAACTGCAGCAACTTTCAGCAGTCCAAAAAGAGAGAAAAGCAGCCCAAACCAAGGAGGTTCATCCATTCTTTTCACTTCAAAAATTAACCCCAGCTGAGGACTTCATTTTTTTTCCCTTCCTGCTCACCTTGCCGCAGATCAATTCTATTCATTCGAAGCACACCAGATTAGCTGCACCAGGTTTTCTTCTCTGTTCATTTTAGTTACAAGCAGCCGCAGGGAAGGAATTCTTTCTGTTTGTTTCTGAACCAATCGCAGCAAGCAGAAGTTAGAGACCAAGAAGCAACTTTTCTTCCTTTTCTTTGACAATCAGCCGCAGCAGAAAGCAAGAGACCAGGAATGCCTAAACGTCATTTTCCCTCAATTCTTTCAATTCAATTTACATTCTAAGTAATGATTGTAAGTTCCTGCATATTTTACATTACTTGTTTTCTGTTTTGGATTGAATTTTGAATTGGTAGTCTCCATCTAGTAATTTCAGTTTTTTTTTACTATTAAATACTCGTAATCCAGTTTTTTGTTTCTAGCTCCACATATGTTTATTGTGATGTTAATTTTAATCATGAATAGCTAATTTCATATAGGGTTTGAATTGGGGCTAGGGTTCATGGGTTCTTGAGGGTGTGAATTTAGTTTTTTTTATCAATTAATTTTCTGGATAATTGTATAAGATTAATCATAATTGTCTATATGAATTTGATCACCTCATATATGAATTTCTGGATTTAATTCAATTCTTGTCTATGAGAAATTGAGTTAAATTAGCTCAGGTCTTATACAAGCAATCTGACCTTAGAAATAAGTTAGGATTGTGAAATATTGATTTAAATCTTGTCTATGAGAATTTATTTCATTTTCTTTCCAGGAATAATTGAAAGTTAATTTACTTAATTCCAATCCCGAAAAAACACCCAGAACCCGAACCATCCAATTTGAACCCTGTTTTACTATCTAGAATCAATTTAATTTAATTTTTCTTCCTCTACTTATTTTTGCACTCGTTGTTAGTTAGTTTTTTTATTTTATTTTATCACCCAAAAATAATTATTTGGAAAGATTACCATGACTTGTGCTAGCCTGTGATCACGGACTGTATTTAAAACTTCCTTTTTGCCACTCCTTGAGAGACGATACTCGTGGTCTGGTTATTCTTCGGATTAGCCAACTACGTTTTAACTCACTAAAAAAATACACCGATCAAATGGAGCCGTTGCCGGGGAGTGGCACGGTTGTTTGTTAAGTACTTTTCTGTGGAATAGGTAAAAGCAAGTCGGTGAGACTTTCTATTTTTTTTCCTGTTATTTGTTTGTTGTTTTTGGTATTTTTTTTGCACGTGAACTAAGCTGCAGGAACCGGTGTATGCACACACGTGCTCGGGGAACTGAAGGCTTGATCCCATTGAATCCAAACCCGAGAGTATTTTGAGAAGAAGAAAAGGAAGGTCAAGAAACATGGCCGGAGAACAACAGCCCGCAAGGAGGACAATGTATGAACAAATTACTCCGCAATTTGCAGAGGTTGATGGAATAACCATGTCGGGCATTGAAGCTGCAAATTACCAACTATCTCCCGGATTAATCAATCTAGCCCAGAGTAACCAGTCCGGAGGGATGAGACATGAAGACGCCCAGACACATATGCGTTGGTTCAACCGTCTCTGTCGGACTTCCCGAATCAATGGAGTTTCTGAAGCAGCTAACAAACTACTTTTGTTCCCATTCACTCTAAGGGACAAGGCGCAACACTGGCTCGATAGCCACACTTTTGCCACCTGGGATGAATTATACCAAGCTTTCATGAAACAGTACTGCCCAGCATCCGCAGGAATCAAAGCCAAGGCAGCTCTCCAGAACTTTAGACAAGGGAGGAGCGAGACATTGAGTAAGGCATGGGAGCGGTACAAGGAGCTCCGAATTAACTGTCCATCCAACATCATGGAGAGCATGGACACCATATTTCACTTCTACAATGGGCTGTCCATTGAGAGCAAAAAGGAGTTGGATTACTCTTCTAAAACAGGTTCAATCCTAAGGCTAACATCAGGAGAAGGTGAAGAACTGATAGAGACTATTACCTCAAATGAGAGGTACTGGTATGATGAGCGAAGTGAAAGAGCGCCACAGAAGGCAGGATTATATGAGGTTGATTCTAGTACAGCTGCTGCCGCAAAACTGGATGCTCTTGTCCTAAAGTTTGAGAAACTCTATGAAGCTCAGGCGCAGAACCAATACCAAGGTGGCCAGGGGATGAACCAGAGGAGTGTTCGACCAATGCCAAACCAGAATCCAGTGAGAGACATGGTGCTTTCGTGTGATCATTGTTTCGGAGCCCACCTGACCAATTCATGTCCTCAATTCTTTGAAGAGCCCATTTCACCTCAAGAAGTAAATCTTATGGAGTATGCTAAGAAAGGAGAGGGTCCACTAGCACCTCAATACCAAGGAAACCGGGGTAACTTTGCTGGCTACAACAACCAGAGGAATAATTTTCAGAGTGGTGCAAACCAGTGGAGAGATAATAACCGCCAAGGTGGGTACCAACGAGGCCAAGGAAGTGGCAGCAACCAGCCTTATGTGCCCCCACATATCAGACAACAAGATAATTCAGCTCATTCCCAACTAGATTTGGTGCTTGCAGAGCTGACACGGGCTAGAGAAGAAAATGAATTAAGAGATAAAAGGGCAAGAGAGGAAAAGATATTGATGGAGCAGCGGTTGAGGAACCTTGAGCTGCAACATGAGCAGCGTATGCGGGAACTAGAGAACAGATTCTTTGGAGGTCCTTCGGGGAGACAGTCTGGAAACCTTCCCAGCACTACAGAGCCAAACCCAAGAGAGCATGTGAATGCAATAAATCTGCGCAGCGGGAAGCAAGTTCCTGAACCAATGGTGGATGCGAAGAAGAGCCAAGCCAAGAATGTTCCTAGCTGTCCAGGAAAGAGTGCAGAGCCAGTCAATGTCCCAAAACCTATTCAAAGACAATCTGAAGATGAACTAGAGTTCAATTCTGAACAGCTAGGACAGAGAGAGGGCAAGGCAATCATCGAGCCGAATACACTTCAACAAGAGGCCAAGAGGGCTAATGCACCAGTTGTTCCATTCCCTGCTCGTGTCAAGAAGGGCGAGGACCGCAAGAGAGAATACAAGTTTATGGAGATGATTAGCAAACTACATGTGGAGATGCCACTCACAGAAGTACTTGCGGAGATGCCTAAATATGCAAGGTTCTTGAAGGACTTAATCACCAACAAAAAGAGGCTAGAGGAGTACTCTGTGGTTGACCTAAATGCAGAGTGCTCAGCTGTGGTGACAAAGATGATGCCGGAAAAGCTCAAGGATCCAGGTTCTTTCATTATACCTTGTTCTATTCATGATTATGTTTTTAAAAATGCACTAGCTGATCTAGGAGCCAGCATCAACTTGATGCCGGCTTCTCTTGTTGATAAGTTGGGACTGGGTGGAATGAAACCCACTAGGATGTGTCTTCAATTAGCTGATCGCTCTATTAAGTACCCAAGTGGTATTATTGAGGATGTCCTAGTCAGGGTTGGTGAGTTTATTTTTCCTGTAGATTTTGTCGTTATGGATATAGAGGAGGATCGTGGAACCCCTCTTATTTTGGGGCGGCCATTCTTGGCCACTGCCCGTGCTATTATTGATGTGTCTGATGGTTCACTGATTCTGAGAATTGGAGAGGACACTTGTACTTTTCGACTCTCAGAAGTTATGAACCACCCCGAGGCACAAACTGAGAGCTGTAATTTTCTTCATATGTATGAGTGTATTGAGGATTATTTATTTGGGGGCCAGGGTGAGAGTAATTGTTCTGATGATACTGCATGTGGTGAGGTCTTAAATGTGGGTATGTGTGATGATGAAATGTTATCTCATGAACTTAAATGCTATGTTGATGATTTGCTAGGAGAAGCCTCTGAAGAGGTTATAGGTAATATTGTTGTTGATACACCCTCATCTGAGCAGTTTTCTGAGCTCAAAAGGCTCCCAGAACACCTACAGTACGCTTCATTGGATGATGAGGGCAAACACCCCATTATCATTGCTTCTGATTTAGAGAGAGATGAAAAAGATAAGGTTGTGTCCTTGTGATAAGTCCATTTTTGTACTTATTTTTCTTATCAAATTTAAGCGATTTTTGAATGAAAATAGAAAGAAAAGACACATTTTATATATTTTGGTTCAAGTTTCATGAAATTAGGTAAAAATCACATCCATAATATGTTTAGCGGGATTTCGGGTCAATTGAGCACAAAATGAGTCAATTTGAGTGACAAATACATTTATACCGGAAGAAGCAAGCATTTTATCAAGGTGATTCAGAAGACAAAAATGAAGAGCAGGAAAAGCCGCATCTGCCAGACAAAAGTGGCAGAAGGCGCCCAAATAGGCGCCCAAAATGGAGGCCTTCGCGGCCGCCTACGGGAAAAATCAGAAGTCAACCTCGCTTTGACTCGGGACCAGGAAAAGACCGAAGGCTGCCGACACTGGGCAGAAGGCGGCCGCCTACGGTGGCCGCCTGCGGCACAAGGGGACAAAACCAACCACCGGTCGGCCAGACAGGACGGCAGGCGGCCAGACAGGACGGCAGGCGGCCGCCTGTTGGACCGCCTGCGGCGGCCAGGATCCGCCGGGATCCGCCGGGATCCGATCTGCCAACGAAAAGACGGCAGGCGGCCATTTGTGACGGAAGGCGGCCGCCCTCTGTGGCCGCCTACGGCTAACGGGACCGGCCACGATCCGCTGTCGGCGACGGGACGGAAGGCGGCCAAAATGAGACCAAAGGCGGCCGCCTGGTTGGCCGCCTACGGAAGGCGGCCAGATTCCGACGGAAGGCGGCCGCCTTCTTGGGCGCCTTCGGTGAAATTTCTGCTATAAATAGCAGGCTTTTTCCCCATCTCAAACACACCAATTTCAAGCCCAAATCAGATCAAAAAGGGCGTCTTCTTCCTCCTCAAAGCTCGGATTTCCACCATTGTTGCACCTTCAACTTCAATCTTTCATATCTTTCTCATTTTAGCTCCAAATTGTGAGTCCTTTATATGTATTTTCATCCTTTCAATGAGTAGAATCTGAATCTGTACTTGGTTTTTTCTATCTGTGCTTCTAAAATTTTCAGAAAATTATTCCACTATTTCGCATTTTTCTTCTTAAATTTGAGTAAAATAGTTGTTGACATTAAATCCATTCCAATTAATTATATAGTTGCTTACTAGCCTCAAGGTAGTTATTTATCAAAACAAAGTTAATTTTTACGAAGTAGAAGTAAATTTTAATTAATTCCGGCATTTAGTTGTTATTATTGCATAAATTAAATTAAATACTCAAAAAGGAAAAAAAATTAGTTTCTGTCCTAATTCTAGTTTAATTCACAGTAATATCACTCCCAGTAGTCAATATAAAATTTAGAACGAATTTAAAATAATTTTAGTTGCTTTTTGCATTTTCTAGTTAAATTTGGGAAAATTATCAATTAGTTGTTAAAATTGGATTTTAGGTTCAAAAATTCGTGAAAAATTCCAGAAAGTTATACTTCAGTTTCTAAAAGTTTATTGTTCCAGAATATAAGTTTTGCTATCATCCATGTTTAATTCCTTGTTAATGTTGAATATATTCATTATATTGTTAGTTGTTAAAATGATCTTTATTAGCTAAATTTGTTTTGGGCATGAATTGACTAAAGGAATATGGATTGACTTGTTGACCAAAAAATTAGGGATTAAAATTAATAATGGGGACTAGTTGTTTGAAATGATGAAATAGTAATTAATAATTGTTAGCCATATTCATTAATTAAATTCTTGGAAAATTATCTCTAACTTGTCTATGAGATTAGAAAATAATTTAAGCCAACCATATTCGAGCACATTAATAAGGCCTAGAAATAGGATAATTTAATGAAAGGGATCTACATCTTGTCTATGAGAGATAAATTCAATTGCTTAAATAATGAGTTTAACTAGTTAATGAATTTGGCTATTTTTATTAATTAAAATATTGGAGAATTATTTCTACCTTGTCTATGAGGTTAGAATTTAATTCAAGCCAACCATTTTGAACACATTAATGACACCTAGAAATAGGATAAATTAATGAAAATAGTTTCTATTCTTGTCTATGAGGAAAGAAATTATTAGTCCACTTTTAGTTTTAATTTCCCTAATTATTAGGTCCAAGAATATATCCATTTCTAATTACTCAATTCATTGCCCTTATTTGCATCAATCCATTTAAGTTTAATATTATATTTTTTTCCTTTAGTCTATTTTTGAGCCATCATTAGTATTTGCACAATTTAATTTACTTTCTTTTCCAAAAAGTAGTTTAGAAAATCAATCAAAAGTTTTAATTTGGAAAGCTTCCAATAATTTGCGATAACCTGTGACTGGACTTGAAATCAAGAAGCTCCTCCGCCATTCCTCGAGAGACACGATACTCGGGGGAAAACCGAAAGGTTAGACTCCGTTTTACTACAACGCCGCGAAAGCGGTTATCACCTTGCTTAGGCGGCGTGAAGGGGTCATTGCCCGCACGCTAGGGGATATTAAGGGGATCGATCCTACCTTTTGCACACATAGGATTAGCATTGAGGAAGGGTTCAGCCCGACAGTGCAACCACTGCGCAGGTTGAACCCTAATTTGATGGAGGTTGTGAGAACCGAGATTTTGAGGCTTTTAGATGCAGACATTATATACCCAATTTCTGATAGTAGTTGGGTGAGTCCTATTCATATGGTCCCTAAGAAAGGGGGAATGACTGCTGTTGAGAATGACAAAGGGGAGTTAATACCTACTCGCATTGTGTCAGGGTGGCGGATGGTGATTGATTACCGAAAACTAAATGATGCCACCCGGAAAGACCACTTCCCTTTGCCATTTATTGATCAGTTAGTTGAGAATTTAGCAGGGCACGGTATTATTGTTTCTTAGATGGGATGAGTGGGTACTTTCAGATTCATGTAGACCCTAGAGATCAGGAGAAGACCACCTTTACTTGTCCCTTTGGCACTTTTGCTTTCCGTAGGATGCCCTTCGGTTTGTGTAATGCTCCTGCTACATTTATGCGTTGTATGCTAGCCATTTTTGACAGGTTTATTGGAGATTTCATGGAAGTATTTATGGATGATTTTTCTGTGTTCGGTGATACTTTTGACTCTTGCTTAGCTAACCTTGACAGGGTGCTTGCTAGATGTGAGGAGACCCACTTGGCCTTAAGTTGGGAGAAATGCCACTTTATGGTCAGGGAGGGTATTGTTTTAGGGCATAAGGTTTCTGAAAAGGGAATTGAGGTTGATAAGGCGAAGGTTGCGGCAATAGAGAAACTTCCGTATCCAACCACAGTAAAAGCCATTCGTAGCTTTCTTGGGCACGCTGGCTTTTACCGCCGGTTCATACAGGATTTCTCTAAGATTGCCCGACCTTTGACTAATCTTTTAGGGAAAGATGTACCTTTTGATTTTTCACCTGATTGTGTTGTTGCTTTTGATACTTTGAAAAGGAAATTGACTGAGGCTCCCATTCTTGCTACACCCGATTGGTCTTTACCTTTCGAGATAATGTGTGATGCTAGCGATCAAGTGGTTGGGGCTATCCTGGGTCAAACCAAGGATAAGCACTTTCGCCCTATCTACTATGCCAGTAAGACTTTAGCGGGGCCTCAGCTCAATTATACCACTACTGAAAAAGAGTTTTTGGCTATTGTGTTTGCTTTGGAGAAATTTAGACCCTACATCATTCTTTCTAAGGTAATTGTCTTCACTGACCATGCGGCTTTGAGGTATTTACTTCAGAAGAATGATGCAAGGCCTAGGCTTCTCCGCTGGATTCTTTTGTTGCAGGAATTCTATGTGGAGATCAAGGACCGAAAGGGGACCGCTAACCAAGCAGCAGATCATCTATCTAGACTAGAGACTGAAGTGGTGGAGACATTCAAAAAGTTTGAGCTTGAAGAGACTTTTCCAGATGAGAGGCTTCTAGCCATTCAACACGGTTCAAAGATGCCTTGGTATGCAGATCTTGCTAACTTTCTTGTGGGCAAGGTTGAACCTGCCGGGATGTCTCGCCACATGATTAAGAGATTGAAGTCTGAAGCCAAGCATTACTTCTGGGATGATCCATACCTATTCAAAATTTGTGCTGACCAAGTTGTGAGAAGATGTGTACCTGAACAAGAAGGAAAGGACATTCTAATGCATTGTCATACTGGACCCACAGGAGGTCACTTCTCAGGAGAGAGGACTGCCAGGAAAGTTCTTGATTGTGGATTCTATTGGCCCACCATTTTTAAGGATGCTCATACTTATGCTTCAGCTTGTGATCAGTGCCAGAGGACTGGGAACATATCCCGGAGGGATGAGATGCCACAACACTATATTTTGCCATGCGAAGTGTTCGATGTGTGGGGAATTGATTTCATGGGCCCTTTCCCGAGTTCGAAAGGGAACAAGTTCATAATAGTTGCTGTTGATTATGTGTCCAAGTGGGTGGAGGCCCAAGCATGTTCCACGAATGACACAAAGGTGGTTGTCCGATTCTTAAAGAAGTTATTTGCACGATTTGGTGTTCCTAGAATCTTGATCAGTGATAGGGGCAGCCATTTCAGAAGTGACCCTATGGCCCGTATCCTTCAGCGATATGGTGTTCAGCACAGAAGCAGAGTGGCCTACCATCCCCAGTCTCAGGGCCAGGTTGAAAATTCAAATAGAGAAATCAAGGCAGTATTGGAAAAGACAGTTGGTCGGTCAAGAAAGGACTGGGCTGAAAAGCTTGATGATGCTTTGTGGGCTATTCGAACAGCATATAAAACTCCTGTTGGCGCCACACCATTCAGGTTGGTTTATGGAAAATCATGCCATCTTCCAGTGGAGGTCGAGCATAAGGCATTTTGGGCTCTGAAGAATGTTGTATTTGACCTTGAAGGGGCTGGAAAGGAGAGATTTTATCAGCTGAATGAGCTTGAAGAGTGGCGTGCTATGGCCTTCCACAACAACCATTTGTATAAGGAGCGAGTGAAGCAATATCATGATAGGCACATCAAGCAATCCCGCGAGTTTAGAGTTGGAGATCAGGTGCTGCTGTATAATTCTAGGTTGAAGTTGTTCCCTGGGAAACTGCGTTCCAGATGGTCAGGGCCATTTATAGTGACTGAGACCTATCCGTATGGCACCATTGAGTTGCATGATCCTGAAAAGGGAAACTTTAAGGTTAATGGTCATCAATTGAAGCTCTATTATGGTGAGAAAGTGAGCACTGAAAGGGAGGTTCTTTATCTTAAGGAGATTAGCGGCTAAGCATGATCTGTCGTCAAGCTAGTGACGTTAAAGAAGCGCTTCTGGGAGGCAACCCACCCCAAAAAAAAAAAAGAAAAAAAAGAAAAAGAAAAGAAAAAAAAATAGAATTAGGAATTAATTTTTTATGCATTTTTTGTTGTTGTCATCGTGTGGTTGTGCGGGTACATTTCTTTTCTTGAGTTGCAGATATGGAAGGGACACCATGGACTGATTGTGGATTAGAAGAAGCGCAGGCATGTGTAGAGGGGCTCCTCAGGGCTACTAACTGCAGTTCACTTCATAGCAGCCCCAGGAGCGATATATGAGCTGGATTCGAATGCTAGACTTACACTTGCTCAGGAAATGGGGTCGCTGGCAGATATTAACTAATTGATGCAGTTTTCGGATGGCACCATATGCTGAATATGAGGACTAAATCAGCTGATTGACAGTATAATCCCCTTTGCTGGTACAAGACTTTGCTGGCAGATTCATGTTGACACTTGGTTCTTTAACTGGGTGTAGGTGCGGACGACTTCACATCAACTTCTGTTTCCAAGAAAAACAAGCTTTGAGCAGGGTATATTCTGGGAATTAATGCTACGTAGGAGGCATAGTTTCATGCTTCTTTTAGCTTGAGCAGACACTGGACCAGGCTGACTTAACATTAGGGACTCCACTTCATCATGAGGAGTAAACCTCCATGGTAGTAGCCAGAACGCGAGCTAATCCACCAGGCAGCAGTTCACACATCAAGTTAGGTCGTGGGTCATTACCTTGACCTGTTCTCTTCTCCCATGAATGAACTAGTCAGCCTCAGTATTCATCAAGTCATCAGAATGCGCAGTTCCTGGACATGGCAGCTGTTACTACACTTACTCTCAAGATTGAAGGACTTCAAGTAGCATTACGGGGCAAACTGTGTGCAGGATTCAGCGGCATGTAAGCAATCGAGGAGCTATTTGATGCAGAGATTTGAAGTTATTTTGGAGTGTATTCATCAACGTTTGGCTTGTACGGTAATCTGCCAACTCTTACTACACTGCTAAGAATGTGTGTTTACTCTCATATTACTCCTTTGTTGATTTGTGTTGATTGTTATTATTGTGACTATGATGTGCTGCCGGGATGAAAATCATTTTATTCTTAACTTGCCCCTATTATTTCTGTATTAATCTTTTCTTTGACCTCGAGGGCGATGTCACCCCTAAGTGTGGGGAGGTTTGGTTTTAGCTTGGACATGACATTTGGTGATGAAGTTATTCTGCCCAAAAACATTTTGGAGTGCACGAGGATTTTTCTGGTTTAGCAACGCAACAGAGGTAACTTGTTAATCTTTATTTTCTTTTGTAATCTTCCATCTCCTCCATCTTTCTTGGAATGAATTAGTAATGGTGTAATCATCGGAGTGGTGTGTATATTCTTGGGAAATGTTGGCATGTTGGATGGTTTGATTTGTGTTGATTAAATTCGGTTTTTACTCGTGATTCACTAGTTCGCACTAATAATTCCTTGACTGGCCAGGTGTTGAAAATCCTTACTCCGTAAGGAGCTCTGCTTTCTAAGCATATCGGGATAACTTCATGCTAAGTAGGCAACTGATTCTTGTAATGGGGTTACACTTCGTGTGTCGAGAATTTCATCCCCGAAATGGGGCTCTGCTCATCTCGCGAATCACCTTGTGTGAGAGTTGAGTACACAGTAATGAGATAAACTCCCAGGCCCTAGAGCTTGAATCAGTCCTGCAATCCAGAACCTGGTCAACTTTATATATTAAAAAAAAAAAGAATCACGAGTATACCAGTTTTATCACACAACTCTTGGGTTTTTGGAATGATTGGTGGTTTGAATTTCACACACCTACACCGTTGGGACCATCATGCTTTTCTTTACATTTTAGTCGGTTGGAGAGGGATTTTACTTTTGAAAATGTTGTTTAACATGTGAATCTTGGTTTCGTTGTTAAGAAAGAAAAGACCTTGTGCAACCATTTGTTTTGGGTGTGAATGATTTTTGAACCAGGTATTACATGTGATTATTTGGTTTTCCGTGGGTTTAATGCACTGTTGCTTGGGGGCAAGCAACGCTCAAGTGTGGGGAGATTTGATAGGCTCGTTCCGTTCCTATCTTTTCACCCATATTTTGGGTGTTAATTGTCTAATTTTTATAATTAATCGGGTGACTATTGGGGGTTTTGAATGAAAATTTGTTATTTTTCGGTCCCGGTGGCATTCATTTTCAGTTTAGTAGTTTTCCACACAATTTGATATTTTTGGAGTAATTTGATTGTAAAAATGCATATGATTAGCGGTTGTGGTGAGTTGTGATTTTATAGGCCGAATTTGTTGTGAATAACACATTTTATTTGGATCGGGCATTTTGACATCTTGTTAAGATTTATTTGGCAAACAGCCCAAAGAGAAAAAAAAACTGCAGCAACTTTCAGCAGTCCAAAAAGAGAGAAAAGCAGCCCAAACCAAGGAGGTTCATCCATTCTTTTCACTTCAAAAATTAACCCCAGCTGAGGACTTCGTTTTTTTTTCCTTCCTGCTCACCTTGCCGCAGATCAATTCTATTCATTCGAAGCACACCAGATTAGCTGCACCAGGTTTTCTTCTCTGTTCATTTTAGTTACAAGCAGCCGCAGGGAAGGAATTCTTTCTGTTTGTTTCTGAACCAATCGCAGCAAGCAGAAGTTAGAGACCAAGAAGCAACTTTTCTTCCTTTTCTTTGACAATCAGCCGCAGCAGAAAGCAAGAGACCAGGAATGCCTAAACGTCATTTTCCCTCAATTCTTTCAATTCAATTTACATTCTAAGTAATGATTGTAAGTTCCTGCATATTTTACATTACTTGTTTTCTGTTTTGGATTGAATTTTGAATTGGTAGTCTCCATCTAGTAATTTCAGTTTTTTTTACTATTAAATACTCGTAATCCAGTTTTTTGTTTCTAGCTCCACATATGTTTATTGTGATGTTAATTTTAATCATGAATAGCTAATTTCATATAGGGTTTGAATTGGGGCTAGGGTTCATGGGTTTTTGAGGGTGTGAATTTAGTTTTTTTTATCAATTAATTTTCTGGATAATTGTATAAGATTAATCATAATTGTCTATATGAATTTGATCACCTCATATATGAATTTCTGGATTTAATTCAATTCTTGTCTATGAGAAATTGAGTTAAATTAGCTCAGGTCTTATACAAGCAATCTGACCTTAGAAATAAGTTAGGATTGTGAAATATTGATTTAAATCTTGTCTATGAGAATTTATTTCATTTTCTTTCCAGGAATAATTGAAAGTTAATTTACTTAATTCCAATCCCGAAAAAACACCCAGAACCCGAACCATCCAATTTGAACCCTGTTTTACTATCTAGAATCAATTTAATTTAATTTTTCTTCCTCTACTTATTTTTGCACTCGTTGTTAGTTAGTTTTTTTATTTTATTTTATCACCCAAAAATAATTATTTGGAAAGATTACCATGACTTGTGCTAGCCTGTGATCACGGACTGTATTTAAAACTTCCTTTTTGCCACTCCTTGAGAGACGATACTCGTGGTCTGGTTATTCTTCGGATTAGCCAACTACGTTTTAACTCACTAAAAAAATACACCGATCAACTAGTCCGTGACTACACGTAGTCACGGATAATGGTCCGTGACTAAAGTTAGTCACGCCTGAGAAGTCTCGGATTTTGGCCGTGACAAAGTCCGTGACTAAAGGAGTTAGTCACGGATTTTTTACACTATGATCCGTGACTAAATCCGTGACTAACTCCGTGTTTTTTTGTAGTGAAGAGACGGCGGATCCTGTACTTATAGAGGCAGGGGCGGCGGAGACGAAGGGCGGACGATTGGAGGTTGATCCAATGGATGTGGCGGCGAAGATCGATGAAGGTCGGGGTGATTGGAGGTCATTCCAATCGAAGAGGCGGAGATAGATGACGCAAAGGTGGTGGTCGAAGGTATTTGTATGGAGGTTGGGGCGGAGGAGGTGGAGGCCGCATGCGGAGGTGGGTGGCTATGGATGTGGGGACGGTTGGAGGTCACCATAATGGATGAGGAGGAGGTGGAGGCCGCAGATGTGGTGGCCGGAGGCGGAGGCCGCAGATGTGGTGGCCAAAGGCGGTGTGGTGGGAAGTAGGGCGGCGGAGGTGGAGGCCGCACACGGAGATGGTGGTTATGGAGGTCGGAGCACCGCTCCAATGGAGGAGATGAAAGTGGTGGCCGGAGGTTGGAAGAAGTAGACAAAAAGGAGCAGGGGACGGGTAAAGACAGAAAACAGCGGACAAGGAAGAACGAGAAAGAAAGGGAAAAAAGGAAGAGGGAAAAGAAAAAAGGAAAAAGGAAAAAGAACAAGAAAAGAAACTTAAAAAAATAGAAAACAGTAAAAAAAAACGCCAACTAGGACAGCCACGTAGGAGTTAACCGGGTAACCGGTTTATTACCTATGAATAAGCTTATTTGATTGTTTTTTTTATACTTGATGGACTTAATTGACTCACAAAAATATACATGGACTCAATTGACTTTTTGTGAAAAGTAAGTGGACTTAAAGATCCAGTTAAAGAATAAGCAATCATTTTTTTCACTGCAGCTAACATCAAATTGAAAAAGAAATTGAAAAAATGGAAGAATATCAGGAAAGAAAAGAGAGAAACGCCTGGGAGCAAATACATTCACATGTTTCCTCTATCACGTTTGAAAGTGTATGTGTAAATGTTTGTTTGCTCTCAGATTGGAAAAAGATAGTTACCCCCAGTACCATATAAACTTCTCATTTGTATTTACGATGTGTGAGTGAGACCGATACCACAAAACTGATTTGGAATAAGTTATATAACCTAATCAGAAAACAAAAGGAAATTAGGCTGACAGCGGGAATAGTGAGTGTTAGCCTTATTTTGGGGCGGACATTCGGCCAAAGAAGATAAGAGAAGGCAGAGAAATCACAGGAGGCGTTTGTCGGTGCCGGTTGAATTGGAGCCGGCATCCGGGTGAAGAGGAGAAGAGAAGTGAAGAGCAGATGGAGATGGACGATTGAGACAGCAGAGCTCCATTAATGCCCCAATTTTCACTACAGGTAGAGTAAATTTGAGAAAGAAACTGAAAAAACGGAATAGTATTGTCAGAGAGAAAGGTGTAGGGAGTATGATGGCATCCCTGTGTACAGATTGGTGGAGTATGATTAAATAAATTATTTATTATGACTATTGACTAATATGCCCCTAGACTATTATTATAAAAGCCTAAAAACCCAAAAGCTTTTAATCCCAAATCTTATAGCCACATCCCAGTGTACAGATCTCCACCAATGCTGCCGTCTGATGTACAACGCCGCCGACATCCGATCAACAGCGCCGCCGCCGTCTGATGTACAGTGTCGCTGCCGTCCGACCTACAACCACGCCTCCGCTCGCCACACAGCCATGCCTTCGCCAGAGCAAAGTCGCCAGCCCATAACCTGTGTAGGCTAGTTGAGAAGCCGTCCGTCTGACCTAGTGCAATGGCGTCGTCGTTGGCCGTTGCTCGCCCGAAAACCTCCGCCCAAGTCCCGTCGCGCCGCCTCCACAGACGTCCGGACTGGGGAGCGTCAATCTGAAGCCCAATGGATGAAATTTGCTCCATTCCTTCTGCAGACACCATACCTGGGGAGCGCCGATCTGGAGCCCCATGGATCGGATGAGATTCGCTCCATTCCTTCCTCAGACGCCAAGCCTGAGAGAGCCGATCTAGATCTCCATGGATGAGATTCTCTTCATTCCTTCCACAAAAGCCAGGCTGGGAGCGCTGATCTGGAGCCCCATCGATGAGATTTGCTTGATTGGCAACTCTGGGTTTGAAATTACATGCACAAATACTTCTTTTTACATTTTATTTTTTGAGATAAAGGTCCATTGACATGAGCAGTCAAACGGTGCGGTGAATATGAGCATTGAGATTGGATAGTGAACACGGAAATAAATATGGATGAACATGGGCAGTGAGTATGACAATAGGTATTTATACCTGGCAGTGACAGAGTGCATTAAGAAAGTTTGTTGTGCAATGATTATGACCAATAATGCAGTAACACATAGTAGTAATGACCATGAAATGCAATTTATCATAAAGTGATAAAAAATTTAGACCAAAAAAATAAAATAAAAAACTATAAATAAATTCCTAAAGTCAATGAGAATAGAACTGATTTTGGCGCAAATGCAGTGATTATTACCGGATGTGCAGTAATGTCGTGCAGTAAAGTCATGCATTAATTTTGTGCATTAATGGCAATATAAAGTGCAGTAATTTTAATTGGACGAAATTAGTGCAAAATGCACATATTTTAAATAAGGGTATTTTTGTCATTCAACATTTAAATATAAACGAATTTTCTATTTGCTTTTAGATTTTTGGTCATACAAAGGTATAAAAACTAGTTAGGTCATAGATTGAGAAACTCATTAAGTTTTAGTCATATCTCGATAAATTTCCCTAGGATATAGGATAGGATTCTAATCACTAATAACATATTTATAAACCGTCTTAATTTTAGCTATAAATTTTGAATTATTTCTTCAAAGTTTATCTAAAAATTCTACGGAGTAAATCATAAAGTAAAGATAGGCAAGGGAGAAGGGGCATATTGACCACTAAGGTTTGGATAGAGAAACACATTAGAGCAAATAAATCAATAGTTAAGCTTTTGGGGCATAACACCCATCCACTCACCTAAATACTTAACTCCGTTTGCTTTCACTGGCTTTCAATGTTTATTGATATGGATGATGATCAACTTTAATCGATCCAAACAAAAAATATTTAGATTTCTAATTCTTTTCTATTTTATTTATTTTTTCCAGTTTTTCTTTCATGCGGTCTTAATTATTTTATATTGATTTCTTAATACCCAATGTATGTCAACACGTGTTTTTATACTATATCCATATTAGAGCCTGTTTGGTAGCACGAAAATCGGCTGGTTTGGCTGATTCTGCTGAAATTTATGAAGTTCTAGCTGCATTGGCTGATTCTGCTGATTTAAGAAAAAACTATTTTTAAAATATATTTTATTAATAAAATAAAGAAAAAATTATATGTAAAAATAGTTAAAATGATCATCTACAGTAATTTCAGCCAAAACAGCCAGAAAAGTAACTTCAACCTTACATTTTCTGCCTATTACACAATTCAGCGCGCGAAAGCAAAAGTTACGTGTTTGATGAAAAAGTTGGCTGATAAGCCTGATAAGCCGAAAAACAATGGTTCCAAACGGCCTCTTAGTATAATTGTACTTATTTATAGATATACATTTTTATATACTTATGCTGTTATGCATACATGTATGCATATACGTTTTTATATACATATATAAACATAAAGGAAGGTTTAAATAAAGTACTCCTCACATGAAAATGTAAAATAATTTTAGCTAATTAATTCCACTTTTAGTCCTACGAGTTTTGTGTCAATTCCACCTTTTACTCCACGTCTTTCACTTTATCCACTTTTGATACTTGACTAATGTTTTTTAATCGTTTGTGGTCCTTTTCGGGCGATTTTAACCATCGGAAACAATGCCGGAAGGACCATATATGGGCAAAAATACAATAGTCATATACCAAAAGTGAACAAAGTGAAAGATGCGGACTAATTGTGGAAATCACCTAAAACTTGTAGGACCAAAAGTGAAATTTATTCTAATTTTAGCTATTAAAATGAGAAAATAAGTGAATCAGATCAATTTTAAGTGCGATATGATGACAAAAGTGTAAACATTAGCAATTGTTTTTAAAAATAAAATGCTGAATGTGCATCGCTATGTAGAGAAAGTGCGGGCATTTGACTAACATAGAAGTGATTCACTTTTTAAAATACACTAACAAATGTGTACGATACAAAGAATATTTTAGAATTTTTTTACACGGAATTTTTTAAATTTGGGGTGGATTAGGGCCTAGATTGGCCCTCTCTAGCCCCGCTAGGGGTGGGTAAAAACACTGAAAAATCGGTATATCGCACTTACTGTACCGAAAAATACCGAAATATTGGTATACCATCATTTTCGCGGTACGGTATCATACCGTATCGATTTATTTCAGTACGGTAACGGTAAATGTTTTCAAATACCATGGTATACTGGTATAATACTGTACCGACTCCCTACCCAACAATTACTTTAAATTTTAAAATATTGTCCCGTACAAAAAAAACTAAAATATTGTAAAAGTCTATTGCAATTTTGAATTGACGCCCAAAATTAATACTTATGTTTGGTTACAAATACTAAATACAAAAATAAAGGCCAAATTTCCACAAATCCACTATAATCTTCTAGGCTTTTGCTACGTAACATTCAAACAAACTAACCCTAATGACTAATGAGTAATGTACTCATGTAGCCGTTAATGATATTAATAACGACCACATTGTAGGGAATATTGTGACCATATTCTCTTTGCTAAAATGAAATTATATTTAATTTGAGTGTATTTGAAAAACTATTAAATAATATATTTGACTGCCTATTAATAAAATCTAGTCAAATAATAAAAGAAAATTATATCTTTTTACATTGTAATAAATTTAACAATATCGGTCCTAATACAATTATGTAGTGAAAGGAAAAAATAATTTAAAGTAGGGTATAATTGCAAGTGTATTATGTATTTTTTTGTAGAGTAAGTCAGTAATTAAATGTATTTTATGTGTTGTTTCTTTAACAAATGATGGTGCAAATTAGGATGGAGCTAATCAGCTAATAAGGCGTTGGCCAGGAGCAAGCCAAAAATGAAATTTACACTTCCGTATGAGATTAAAGTATGGCAAACTGTCAATCTTGGATTAAAGTTGATTTCATACTCCGTATCAATAAACATAAAGTACTCCGTATCAAAGAAGTCGGTGAAAGCAAACGGGGTTAGTCATATCCGTGAGTGGGTGGATGGTATGCCCTAAAACAATTTAAATATTGATTTATTTGCTCTAAAAATAACCTTAGTGTTTAATATGCTTCTCTATCCAAATCTTAGTGGCCAATATACCCCTTCTTCCAAATAGGCAAACACGCCTTACAAGTTTCCCATCTTAAAGAACGATTACGTACCTCGTAATTGCGAAACCTACGCATTCGAGTTCTACACGGTCATAGAACGATCGCAGCACCCTCCGCACTTCCGAATTTCATTTCAACTCCGCGGCCCCAAAACCTACACGAACAGGTCAGCTCGAAGGTGTGTAATATCTTTTATCAGATCTGTATCCCAACAGCCTTTTACCTTGGGTATTCGGAATTTATCTGTAGATCTAAAATGCTTTATTGCCAAATTATGCTGATTTGCTGTTATTTGCAGGTGAAATCCTCTGCATCAAGATTTCCGCGTCGTATTATAACTCAACATGTGAGATTTACGCCATTTCATCCGCTGGTTTATTGAATTCAGACTCATTTATTTATTCATTTCAATGTTTATTTCATTATTTATTTATTTATTTATTTATTTATTTATTTATTTATTTATTTATTTATTTATTTATTTATTTATTTATTTATTTATTTATTTATTTATTTATTTATTTATTTATTTATTTATTTATTTATTTATTTATTTATTTATTTATTTATTTATTCATTCGTTCGTTTGTTTGTTTGTTTGTGTTTTAAATTGGCAAAACGCATTTGGAGTCATGTACGTAGGAATTCACAACTGAAATTATTGTTTTACAGTTTTTTTCCATAGCTTTTTTTCTGTTAATCAGTGGATGAAGTTGCGCTGTAGAGATGTAGAAATGTACTCTACCGTGGAACACTGGAACTATATATTACAAGTAGTTTGTTTCTCCAATAAGTGGAGGGATTTTTCTCATCTTCACGTAAGGATATGATTTTTGGAATGCTTTTGGTAAGGTTGCTAATTAAATCAGAGGAGTTTTCACTTGTCTCAGTTTCTGGATAAGTAAGTATGGCCGGTGAATATCTATTGCATGTTTAGTACGTTTAGACTCTCCTGTGCTAACGTGTAATCGTGTATTTTGCTACTGGTAACCTCTAGAGAATTTTAATGATGTTGTGATTTAGAGTTACCACCAAACTCTTTATCAAGTTGGTTTGTCAGTTTGTGTCCCTAATAACTTGCAAGAGACTGTATGTACATTAATGTGTTATGTCTCACTCCATGTTTTTCTAACTTTAACTACCTAGGTCGGATGAAGAGGTTGTAGATCAGAAGAAGACACTTGAAGAGAACTGTAAGCCAAAATGTGTCAAGCCACTCCGACAATATCAGGTAATATGATCACATGGTTCACACCTTCTGCATCAATGATTTGAATTGTCTTCAAAAGCATCAGTATTTCTTGGATCCTATTCTTGTTGATGAAATGTATTCTTTATCAACTTATATGATCGAGTGCCCTCAGTGGTGGGGTCAGAAATATGTTCAAGGTTATTTTCCTCATTTGAATATGTCATACCTTTGCAGCAATTTTATTTACGATTATAATTATAATTGATCTATAACCTCCCTCTGTCTGAATTTGTAACTCTCAAACAAGAAGAAAGAATTTCCTTCACTTCCCCCCTCTCTTCCCTTAGTACGGCTAACCTATAGAGCGTTCTCCTCCCATTCTAGTTCCCACCCCCCTGAACTCCCAAACATACCTTATAGGGTATATATAGCTGCGAAAGCCTTGGTAGGTATGCAGAAGACCGAAAGCAATCAATGGGGGATAATACCTGACAATAAAATATTCATTCTGCTTTGAAGTTTTACCAAGTGCGCTATGTAATCCCTCACGGATTTAACATTTGCCTGACCTTATCAGGTGATTTGCCTAGGTAACTTGTTGACCAATGCCAATGTCTCATTGATAGAGTTTTTTTTTCATAACTTCACATATATGCAGGGTTAGGGTCAATTGAAATTATCTAGTTATATGAAAATTAAGAATTCATCTAGTGCATTGATGTCTTCAATTCAATAGACCATGTAAATTGGGTGCACAGAAATATGGTGAACTTCATGGCATCAAGGTATAATTAAGCACAATGCTTTGTGATTTTTTCAAAGCACAATGTGTGTTGTAGGAGAGGTCTTTCATTTTACATTTGGTTATGTACTAATATGTTATTAATTACTCCCTCCATCACTTTTTGCTTAGCCAATGTTGATTGGCACAACGAATAAGGAATGAAAATAAATATTGTTGACTGGACAAATTTGCCTTTCAATTTAAATGACGGAAAGGAGAAACCCAAATAAAGTATAACCCATTTGCTCCTATTTGCAGGCTAGATAATTGCCTTTCTTACGCAATAAAGTACACTGAGTTGAGAGAAAACATGAAGGGGATGTCCAACAAATTAATTCACCAACAGCACCCAAAGGCCTATAATTGAAATACGAACAAATTAATTTAAAAAAAGAAAATCAACCACACGAACAGATAAACATCAGTTTTTTTAAAAGACCAAGAAATGTTATGTTCTGGATCCAACTTGATTCCATCAAATTATTTCGTCTCCTTATTCTAAAACCTCTGGATGTCCTATTTCATTCCCAGCAACACATCTCTCCTCTTCTTCAGCCATACAGTGCGGAAACCTTCATCCTCGCTGGTTCATTGTAGCTCTCTCATCGCATCTTCCATAGGTGGAGTCTCAAGGAAGACAGAGGAGCATGTCCTCAAAATCCATGGCGGTGGTGTTTCCTAGAGAGGAAAGAGATGGTAAGAGAAAGGAAGAGAGATTGTCTAAAAGAAAGTGAAGGAACAGGGAGTGGGTAGGAGATTGACGGAGAGTATTCAAGGTTATTTGTGTCATTGCAATTTTGTTTACTACCCAAAATAGAAAGTGGCTAAGTATTTCGGGACGGCCAAGTAAGGATTAAGGAAAGATGGCTAAATAAATAGGGATGGAAGGAGTACTAAATTTGACCATATAGACTTTATTGTTGGTTATGCTATGCATAGTTATATACTTATATGTACACATTTATAAGATTTTAGGAGTTTCCCCGTATCGGAAACTAATGCACATTTCCGAAAGTGAAAAACTGCCGGTTTTTTAATTTTGGGAAGTTGGAAACATGCCCCCTCAAAACAGAGTTTCGGAAATTTAGGTTGGGATCTTTTTACATTCGCACGGTCTGGAAGCACAGACAAATAATATCTTAGAGTTTATTAGGATTAAACCTCTCGTCTTCAACCCTAGTCTTGTTCAGCACTTCGTTGGCTTCAGCATCTTGGTGAGCAGGTCATTGTCTTCAGTAATTTACGGTAACTCCCAGACTCTTAAAGCGTTCCCATTCTGCGAACTGGTCTGTTGCTTGACCTTTGCTCTTCTACACTTCTCGGTTGGGTAATGGCTATACTTTTTTGAGCTTGTACATATTTGCTTCATAAATTTGTACATAGCCCACAGCCCTATTTTTAATTGTGAATGTCTGGTAGTGGGTGTAGATTGCCAGATAAGTGGGTGTAGATTAAAAGTACGTAGCCCATAGCCCTATTATTGATGATGTATTTTTTGTTTTGTTTTGAACTTATGGATTAATATTTGAATAATTTTACCGTTCAATATGGTGAGTTATAATTACTTTTTAGGTTGAAATAATCTTGTGTGTATATATACATTTGGAAGTTGTATGACACTTCTGGGGAGGTTTTGGTTTGGTCTCCCGTCCTTTTACTTTTTTTCTCGAAATATACACACACACATAATATTTATAAATTAACCCCTATATTTTTTTTTATATTTACGCGTTTCCCCATGTTTCGTTTCCTTTATTTCTTGGAAAATGGCGTTTTCAAAGTTTCCCATTTCCTGTTTCTGTGCTACTTAGGTATGAATACATATACATTAAAGGTATTAGTTAATACATCCATATAATTATTTATATTTACTTGTACCCCACTTTTCACATCCTATATATTTTAAGATTCCATTTCTTGTGTTTCTTGTTTTGTGCTCTCGATCCTATTTTGTTTGTGCGTGCGTGCGCGTGCGCAACTAAAATGAAATTTTCCAAAATACATGAGCCTTCTACTGTTTAACTTCTCCTAACAAGGCAATATTAATAGATGTAGTGGTTTGACACTTTGACTTTCTAAGCTTTAAATATCCTTAAGAAAATGTTTTATCATCTTGTGTTTTTTTCACTTTGTAACTTAATCTAATAAGTAAAGTATAAATGTGATCATAATTTGCAGGCTTGCGCAAAAAGGATTGAAGATGATGACAGCGGGCATAAGCATTGTACTGGACAGTATTTTGATTTTTGGAAATGCATTGACAATTGTGTAAGTAACATCATCTGATCCCTATATGTCAATTTATGTGAGTTATTTATTAAGTTTGGACGATTTATTCTTGAAGCTCTCCTTTTGGACACAGGTTGCTCTGAAGCTATTTGCAAAACTCAAGTAGCAAAGGATACCATTTTTTTGTTGCTATTTTGTTAGTGAACACAGAAAGGCCTTTCTGCATTTTATCTTTTTGCTAGAAGCTAGCAATGTGTCGTCCGGGGAGGCTTATTTATTGAACTAAAACCTTTTGAACTCTACGAGAGTCTTCCTTCATCTGATGAATAAGAGATTTTTCATATGCTTGAATTTGAATACACATTCTAATAAGTTCAAAATACTATGCGATTGTCATTACTTTATATGCCTCTGATATTTGCCTTTTTTCTTGGAGTATAGTATAAGCTTTTTGTACAACAGAGAGTAGTCTGTTTTGTGTTGGCACTCTTAAATTGTTGTAGGTGCAGGTATCAGTTCAAATAAAGAATGTTAAAAGACAAAAATACTTCCTACATTCTTCTTTTTAGTTGCAACATTTTTCATTTTTCAAATAACATTGACCATTAATTATTAATTTAATTCGCAATCAGTAAAAGATTAAAAAATCAGTTTTTAAAATTTCAAATTGAGATGAATTTAGTAATTTTTTTAACTTTCAATATGTTAATAAATAAACTATAGTTAAAATAGAATATGTGAACGTAAACATGTTGCATATAGAATAAAAAGATCATTAGTGGTAGTCCTTCTGCCCTAACATAAGTTTTTCTCTGTTTCATTAAGATTAAGAGGATCATTAATAGTAGTTCTGTCATAATTAAGTTTTTCGCTCCGCTTTAGTCGGAAGTTTCAATTAAAGATTCCCATTTTTTATTTTCTTTTAACAAAAAGGAAATGTTATTGAGCAACGAAAAGGAGACAGCTCGAAAAAAGAAGGAAAGTAGTAAAGGAAAAACGAAGGGAAAGAAAAATGAAGAAGAATAAATCTAATGTAAGCCCAAAGAAAATTCTTAGTTTGTGATTTAGTTCACATGTTATGTTTGAAATTTGCAGTAGATTTAAGTTGCTTATTCAGATTTTCTGTTGCCAAACAAGTGTCCTGAACAAGGTTCGAAATTGTGTATTGCTTGTTTGAGGTGGTTTCTTAGCATTGCCTATTGCGTAAGCCTCATTGCGCAATGAGGCGTAAGCCTCAACTTTTTAACAAAATAATTTATATAAAAGAACAAATAATGTAATTAATACTTGAGTGAAAAAATAAAATTAAAAGTTAACTAATGTCATAATGAAAACATCCAAAATTGAGGTCATAAACTCATCCAAAAGTATGTTCTAACATTATTCAAAATAAATATTTTCTAATTTATTACAGTTCTAGTCCTATTAGATTGAAGAGTCGAAAAGCGGATCTTGTGTATCTAGTGGTTTGAAATAGGGATCAAAACCACTAGCACTTCCCCCATCATCATCATCATCATCATCATCATCATCCAATGCAATCCAATACAAGATCAAAAGAATTGTCTTCATTAACACCAAGGAAACTATGATGACCCTCCTCCTCGTTCTACAAAAATCCCATACAGGACATCTTCTCAGAGTCTGTCATCCTCAACATAGTAAATAATGGCTTTGTTGTCTTGATGGCATAAGCCATGCTTAACCAAAAGTATTTATCTCTCAACAATATCTGTTTCACCTTCTTTGCCTCCGCAGTCCTGGACAAATGATGAGCTGACCATTCTTTTGAGACAAACATCTCTTCTAATGACTCTCTTACGGCATACATACTTTGCAACGTAAAGTATGACATAGCAAATGTCACGCCCCAGACCATAATTTAAGCGCGTGTACAACCGCCGTATAATCAAGTGACATCACCCGCGATTCAACCTCACTTAATCATACAAGGCGTTCGAGAAAACCATCCATCCATACTCAGTAGTAAACATACATAACAACATCACATTTAAACCAATGAATAAGGGAAATATTCAACAGTAAGTCTTAAGCCACAACCGGCCAACAACATAGGCATGCAAGTCCCAAAATAGTTTTATAGTAAATCAAATATCCATAAGCAAGTGTTCGGTAGTTTGAAAGAAAATAAAGAAGCATGAACCACGTCTTCCTAAAGTTGATATCACCCGTAAGAAGGTGCAAGTAGCAAGCCCTAGCTTCAACCTGAAAATAGTGGGGGTCCACCGAAGGGGTCAGTAAAAGTACCGAGCGAGTAGCAGGCTAAATATAGAATAACCAGTGTTTCAAGTATAAGACCCAAACATAGGGTAATACTTATATAAGTAGTCTTTTCCCCCAAGTTAAGAAACACTTATTAGTGTGTGTGTGTGTGTGTGTGTGTGTATACACAAATGTTCAGGTCAGGAGTTCCTGACCGGAACCGCCGTCCGGACCGCGGCGTTTGGCCGCCTTCCGGGTGGAATTTTTTGATGAAATTTTTATCACATGTTCTCCATCAAGTCTAGTTTATCCACAAAAACATTCAGCCAAAAACTCAATCGGGAAGGTCGTCAAATAATTTTTGCAAGTTAACTGGTCCAGAATATGTATTTTCCGGACCAGTTAACTTGCAAAAATCATTTGACGACCTTCCCGATTGAGTTTTTGGCTGAATTGTTTTGTGGATAAACTAGACTTGATGGAGAACATGTCATAAAAATTTCATCAAAAAAAGCCACCGGGAAGGCGGCCAAACGCCGCGGTCCGGACGGCGGTTCTGGTCAGGAACTCCTGACCGGATCATTACTATATATATATATATATATATATATATATATATATATATATATATATATATATATATATATATATATATATATATATATAGGAAAGGTATACCTTACTGGAGCCGCCATGCGGCCTCCACGTTTTGAGGGCCTTCCTGGTGGAATTTTTCGATGAAATTTTTTGAGCATGTTCGTCATCAAGTCTAGTACATCCATACCAAATTTCAGCAAAAAATTCAATCGGGAAGGCAGCAAAACGATTTTTGGAAGATAACTGCGTTTTATATGTATATAAAGGGTGCAGTTATCTTCCAAAAATCATTTGACTGCCTACCCGATTAAATTTTTTGCTGAAATTTGGTATGGATGTACTAGACTTGACGAAGAACATGCTCAAAAAATTTCATTGAAAAATTCCACCGGGAAGGTCCTCAAAACGTGGAGGCCGCACGGAGGCTCCGGTAAGGTATACCTTACCGAAAGAGTTCCCTATATATATACATACATATATATATACACTTGGAAAGTACCCGATCCGTAGACCACTGTTTTGTTTGGGAAAATAGTAATAGTCAATATTTTTGACTAAAAACCCCAGCCCACCCATATACTTATGAGTGTATAGGACTCCTCCTTGTCCATATTTAAATATAAAAAACCTATGAGTTTTGAGGATAACATAATCCTTGGGTACTCCACCAATTCATAATCCGAGTGTTAAGGACTTTTAGTCCTAGGGTCCTCCACCAATTTTATAATCCGAGTGTTAAGGACTTTAAGTCCTAGGGTCCTCCACCAATTTATAATCCGAGTGTTAAGGACTTTAAGTCCTAGGGTCCACCAATTTATAATCCGAGTGTTAAAGACCTTAAGTCCTAGGGTCCTCCACCAATTTATAATCTTATGATCAACCTCATATCAACCTTGATAGAGTCTATATCATAATTATTCATTCATAGCTAAATCAATTCATTAAGCTTATGCATATATCTCACTCCATGCAAAGCCATGCATTTATATAAATTTATAATTAACTAAAACCAACCGGTATTGGTTAATCCATTATCAATCGGCCAACATTTTAGTTTACCCTCATTTCAAGCCTCACACGTATCAACTTAATCATCATACATCTATTAAGTTAACAACTTTCATTTGTGCTTCTCTTACACATCAAACAAATATGCCTTTTTTTATATAATTCCCCATATCATATTTCATGCATAAACAATTAATTCCTTTCATACAAACTTCACCATGTTGGCTAATTACATGTTTAAATATCTTTTAAACAACATTATGAATAGGGAAAATGTGCAAATAAGCCCATGTACTAATCAAAAAAGGTCAAATAAGCCCTTATTTAGGAGGCTCTGTCTGGCCGTCACCATTTGGGGTTGTTCCCGGTAGAATTTTTTGATGAATTTTTTTTACCATCTTATTCATGAAGTCTAGTTTACACATACCAATTTTCAGCTAAAACTTCAATCGGGAAGGCATTCAAATGAATTCTTGAAGATAACTGTGCTTTTAAGTGCGCAGTTATCTTCAAGAATTCATTTGAATGCCTTCCCGATTGAAGTTCTAGCTTAAATTTGGTATGAGTAAACTACACTTCATGAATACGATGCTCAACAAATTTTATCAAAAAATTTCACCGGGAACCACCCCAAATGGTGACGTCCGGATAGAGCCTCCTAAATAATGGCTTATTTGACCTTTTTTGGTTAGTACATGGGCCTATTTGCACCTTTATCACATTTATTTAGGTAATCTCATTATTAACCCAAAATTATAAGATATTAAGCCGTCCACTCACCTCGAATTAGCGCTATGAAGTTCTACCATTCTTGGTTGAACTCCGGCGAAACTCCGGCGACTTTTGACAAACTCCGGCGACAACTCCGGCGACTCTCTCAACTTTGTGAAAGATCTTGAAATACCTTAATCAAGTTCCTAACAAGGTTTTATAATCATAAAACTCATATTAATACAAATAACCCCTAAAAGGTTATTTTCCGGCGAACCGGTCATTTTGGTTTCTAAGTCCGTTCTTGGACATAGAACCACCTTCCAACCCATAAATCTACAACTTATTATAACTTATAATTAAGGTAATGACCTTATTATAACTTTTCCTATATTTTTCTTCTACTATATGAGCTATATATCATATGAAGGACCCGTAGTATGCTTCCTCCTTGGACTACTTTAGGTTGAGCTCGAATTTTGGCTATGGAAGATGAAGTTTCAGAGCATTCTTTCCCTTTCTCCTTGGTGCTGGCCGAATTAAGTGATTGGGGTGGGAGGTGATGTGTATCTTTTGTCTCAATTGTGAGATAATTGAGCGCGGAGGTCCACCTAAGGTCATTCCTATACCAACCAATCACTCTCACTCATTTTACGCCACTCCTCCATGCTATGCAGCTCCCCAAGTCAACCATTTAGCACACAAAAACGTGGGGTGGCCCCCACTCATGTGGGAGGTCATCCCAACTTGTCCCGAATTGTACATTTGGCCCCGAAAGTTGTATTTTTCGGACTGTTTTAATTATATTTTATTTTATCGGGTCAAATAAAATATATTACTTACTCTCAATCATAATGTCCCTTTGAGATAATATATATTCCAAAACTTTAATTTAGAAGTCTCCGAAATTCATTTTCGGGCTGTTATCTGATAAATTTGTCGGTACTGGCAATTGGGCCGCTTTTTGACCAATCGGCCAACCCTGGGCCTTTCTATGGCTCAAATAATATATCCTCCACCATATAATTATTATCCAGACCAAGATGAATAAAATATATAGTTTCAGGATTATCAGGTGGCCCCCCGCTTCCAGTGCGGGTCCCACGTGCAATTTACATTCATGCGAAAGAAATAATAAAAATTTACAACTTCGTAAATTCATTAATCATTCCATAAGGTTCATTACATCATTTACTTAAAAGTAAATATATTTGGGAACGGTGTTACAAGTTCATCCCCCCTTATTTGGGATTTCGTCCTCAAAATCCACGTGTCTAATCGAAAAGAAATGGGTATTGCTCCCTCATTGAGACCTCGGTCTCCCAGGTCTCTTCTTCGACTCGAGCACTCCTCCAAAGAACCTTTACCATATGAATATCCTTATTCCTCAATTTCTTTACTTGTTGACCAACAATCCTTACCGGTTCAACAACATATTGCAAGCCCTCACGGATCTCTACCGGTGGTTTCTCAAAAATATGAGACGGATCTCATACATACTTCTTGAGCATCGATACATGAAACACTTCATGTATCTTCTCAAGTTCTGGTGTTAACTTGAGACGATAAGCCACAACCTCAATCCTTTCAAGGATCTCAAATGGACCGATGTATCGGGGGTTAAGCTTTCCCCTCGATACAAATTGAATGATGCCCTTCCAAGGAGAAATCCTTAGAAAAACCTCATCACCGACTTCGAATTCCAACGCTCTCAACCGTTTATCAGCATAACTCTTCTGTCGGTCTTGAGCAGCCTTCAGTCTATCCTGAATGATCCTCACCTTGGCCTTGGCCCTTTGAGTTTGGCCTCGCCAACCTCGTCCCAACACAACAGTGTTCTACATTTCCTCCCATACAATGCCTCATATAGAGGCATGCCGATACTTGCCTGATAACTGTTGTTATAGGCAAACTTCCTTGGAACTCCAGAGCACATGCCCTAAGCATGTCTTCCAAAATCTGTATCACTCGCTCGGACTGTCCATCCATCTGTGGATGAAAAGCTGTGCTAAACTTCAGTTTAGTTCCCAACGATGCTTGAAACTTTGGCCAAAATCGGGATGTGAATTGTGGATCTTTATCCGAGACAATGGATATCGGGACTCCATGTAATCTCACAATCTCCTCCGTGTATAGCTTGGCCAATCTTTAGAGAGGATAGGTAATGTTGATAGGCAAAAAGTGTGCACTCTTGGTGAGCCTATCAACCACTACCCATACTGCGTCATAGTTGTTCACTGTTCGTGGTAGCCCCACCACGAAGTCCATGGTCGCGTGCTCCCACTTCCACTCTCGGATGGTGAGTGGCTGCAAAAGCCCTGCCGGGTGCTGATGCTCTGCCTTAACTTGTTGGCAAGTAAGACATCGACTCACTTACTCTACGATGTCTCTCTTCATACCTGACTACGAGTAACTTTCCTTCAAATCTCGGTACATCTTAGTATCTCCTGGATGCATAGCATAAGCTGAAGAATGAGCCTCCTCAAGTATAGACTTCTGGAGTTCTTCATTCTTTGGTATGCATACACGATCCTTAAACAATAATAGACTGTCATCACTTACTCGGAAGTTCTCAACGGGCCCCTCAAGGATCCGTTCATGGATCTTCTGACATTCCTCATCAATGGCCTGACACCTGCTGATCTCACCCAACAATGTAGGCCTAACTTTGAATCTAGCAATGAGGGTCCCGCACGTGGACACCTCCACACGTGCCCTCAATGCCTGTAGACATGTGAGTAACGTCTCCGACGTACTCTTCCTGCTCAGTGCATCGGCCACCACATTGGCCTTTCCGGGATGGTATTCGATGATCAAGTCATAGTCCTTGATCAACTCCATCCATCTCCTCTGTCTCATATTCAACTCTTTCTGAGTAGTCATGGACCCGGGCCGGTTCCGGGCCGGGCCCGGCCGGACTTTTTTTTGGAAGGAAGGCCCGGGACCGGCCCGGGTAGCCACCGGGACCGGTCCGGGTCCGGGCCAGGCCTCCGATTTGGTCATTTTTTTTGCTTTCCTAACCCCCCCAAACCCCCCAAACCCCTCCTAACCATCAAGCCCAACCCGGGTGGAACCCCAAAAATGAAAAAAAAAAATCAATTCGGCCCGGACCCGGGCCCGACCCCGTTGGGCCGGTTCGCCAAATACAAGGCCCGAGCCCGGACCCGCCCCCCACCGGGCCTAGGCCCGACCCGGACCCGGACCCGGACCCGGACCCGGACCCGAGAACCGGGCCGGTTCCGGGCCCGCACAGCAGCGGGCCGGGTCGGGCCCATTTATCCCTCATTACTTCTCCCAATGCTTCCAATTACTAGCTATTGCAATATTATTGCTAGCCTCTCGTAACAAAATAAAATAGATGCATAAAAAGAAACCGAAATCCCTTATTAGTTCTTCCAATGCTTCCATACCTGTGGCTGTTACTCCATTTTGACTTTTTTTTGTCCTTTTTGATTCACTAAGGGCAACTCCAATGCAGTTGTGCATTGCTGCTGAGATGGAAAAGTAATGAACATGGTGTATTCCAAATGTGGACCAAAAATTTAGGGAATAGTAGGGTCTATTCAATTTGAACTCCAATGCAAATAACAAAGAAAAACTAAATAAAAAGCAAAAATGAAAATGAATGGCCGAAAATCCTAGAGGCCTACATATGCCTTGTTGGCTTTGTCAGAGGGTGAGACCCAAGGTCTCAATATGGACCTCCTCCTTGACATTGTTCCTAATTATTAAGTGCCAAGTCACCTACAATGGAACTACATTTTTTTGCATTGGGAAGTAGACTTTCATTTTAATTTTGCATTTGATGATGTGGAGGGACAATGCACCTCTCCATTGGAGTTGCTCTAAGTGGCGCAAGTGCCTTACGAGTTACGAATCAATTTGTGGGTATGCGTCAGCTTTTGCACGGAGTCACCAACTTGCAAGCACAGGGGACAGGGGATGAAGCTTCCGGAGGAAAGAATAGGAAGAACCGCCTCCAATTTTGTTTATGCAAGGATAATTTTGTACATTAACAAAATACTCCATCAAAAATCATTTTTTATCATACACTTCAACTTTTACCTTTTAATTAAAATCGCTTCTATTCCCAAATACTATCTAATTTCACTACAAATCATTTTTTCCAAAAATCTCTTAAATAAATCACTTTTCAAAAGCGTGAAGGGTGAGGAATAATGAGCGAATTTCTGGGTTTAGGCGGACAACTCCGCTTTGGAGATGAAGATTGCGGCAATCAATATTTCGTCGGTCGAAGAGGAGGAGGACTGCATCGTCTTGGATTCGCGTCATGTCTCTAGGGTTTCACCGCTAGAGTTGTATGGCGAGGAGCGGTGCCGTCTTCTGGCAATTCATTCGTGGATAGAGAGATTCGGCTGGAGGCGACTCAAGGGCCGATCAAGGCGATGAAGTGAAGGCGATCTGACCTCCTCCTGAACCGCCGCCGGTGGTTCTTGGAAGGTTGAGTGAAAAAATTAATTTTTTTGCTTTTATTTATTTTAATGGTCTGAATTTGTGTGTATTTTTTTTTGTTTTATCTCTTTTGATTGTAAGACTGTGATTTTGGATTTGGGTGTGGGTGATGGAATGACCGCGGTAACCGTCTTTGACTCATTTGTGCTCATTAATGAATCAACGAGTTATATTACTGAGACGATAAATTCTGAATCTGGTTCGAGGGACGACAGTTGTCAAGAGTTGTTTTGTCGGATACACTATCTAAATGGTACATCTCTTTCGATTGTAAGCCAATTGGTAAACAATTTACTTGAGTTGTTGGTTTTAATGATAAAAAGTAAGGTGAAATCATTTTTCAAAAGCACAATCAAAAGCAAATAGAACAAAAATTAATAAACAAGATATGCTTAGGTCAATCTTGTTTGTTGGGAGGAGGGAGTAATTTGGGTCCGTAAAGTCTCTGCTGTTTCCCACCGCTCCATTTGTGACTGAAGAAAGGAGGGGGAGATGTGGTACCTGTGCGTGTTTTATCACAGATTATTGGACTTCCGAAAACCCGAGGTCGAATCCTTGGCCGAGCTCTTTGGAGCATTCAACTCCCAGCCGCGAAACATTGAGTGGAGACTTCCTGAGCACTACCACCCGGATTCCCCCTTCCATTTCGTGTCCCTCCCCTCAGAAGAGATTGCTCGGAATGTCGCAAATCGAAGTATGCATTTCTCACCCAAACTCTTCACTTTTCTGCTGAGACTACAATTATAGCATGGTCGAGCAATGTTCCAAATCTGTTGATGTTAATTGCGTGTTTTGGTTGCATTTTCAAATGTTTCTGCTGTCTTTAGTTTCTCGATTTCAGCTGTTGATCCAGATTCATGAATTGGTTTTGTCATTTCGACACCCTTCACTGTGCAGGCATTCTTGTAAAGGGAATGTATGAACTTTGGGGAGAAGGCAGTAACTACGAGGAGTTGGAAGATGCTATCAAGAGTTACCCTGATGAGCGGAAGTTACCTTACCTGACATGTAATACCACATTCAAGATTTCTGTTGACAGCTTTGGGAAAGCCATCAGCTTTCAGGAACAAAATGATCGTATTCGAGCACTCTCATACATTCCTTTCAAGGTCAATTCCTCCGTAGTCGTGCCTTTCCAAACTATGCGCAAACCAATGTTTCCCATTGCACCATTATTGCACCCCCTCTGATGTGTTTATGCTAGGCTTGCTGTTTCTATTTTTTCCAGGGACGGGTAAATTTGAAAAATCCTGACCACAAGTTCTGCCTAATTGAAAATGATAACGATGGGTCTAATAATGGACTCCCCCCGACTCTTCATAGGAGGGTGTTTTTTGGTCGGGAGGTTGGTGCTGCTGATAGGAAACTCTTGCCCACTTATCAGTTGAAAAGTCGCAATTATCTGGGGCCCACAGCCATGGATGCTGAGATGGCATTCCTGATGGCCAACCAAGCCCACGCAGATCCTGGGAAACTAGTCTATGATCCGTTTGTTGGCACAGGAAGCATTTTAGTTGCTGCTGCTCATTATAGGGCAATGACAATGGTCAGTATTATTTTTTCCATATGTACTGGAACCTTATGGGTATGTTTGGATCCCAGGAAGGAAACAAAATACTAGAATACATGTTTTTTATTGTTTGATTTTAAATTTGAAACTGTTTAATCTAATAAATAATCCCTAATATATGACCAAAATGAGGATATTGGACAAAAATGCAACTTAATGACTGAGTTATAATTATATTCAAATTTTACATCAAAGTGACTAAAAAGTGTACTCATAGTCACTTTGATCACATTTTTGTGTACAAGTGTTATTCTAGTACTACCTTTGTCCTTTAAAAATTTGTCATCTCGTAAAGTTTGGACCATGATTTTGATTAGTGTAATATCATGGAAGTCATAAATTTTGTACTTTTATCATTTTAGGGAAGTACTTTTTAACTAGGAACATTTCGTATCATTTTTATGATATCGATAACTTCTAATGAAAATATAGTTGGTCAAAGTTTCAAACATGTCAAAGTTTAAGGGATGAAAAGAGTAATAGTTTAGAAGAACCTCTTAATTTTTTAATCAAATTTGATTTAAAAATAAAACTTGCATAGTTGCATATATTTAGATTTATTTGTCTTTGAATACTAAAAATATGCAAGTAAACAATTCTCTGGGAATGTCTAAAACAAATTTATTGAGTTTTGTAAGGTTCCTCTAAATATGGTTTCCTCCCAAATTTTCTCTATATCTTATTCCCTAGTTGGGTTTTGTAATAGGCTTAAGAAAGGAAAAATGCTGCGAAAAAATAATTTCTTACTCTCTCCCTTATCTTGGAAATTGCTAAGAAAATGAAACAAGATTAGTTTTTTTATATGTACTACGTATATTATAGATTTCTTAGTATTAGTCTACTGGAAAATATAAATATAATCTGCTTGAACAAACATCTGACATAAATTTATCGAGTTTGAGACTTTGAGCGTACCTTTACTTTTCACCAGTTTTACCCAAGTATTTTCTGATTTTCAAATTAACACAGTATCCTTTCAAAAGAACACTATTTATAGCCATTCTTTTCAGGGTGCAGATATAGATATCCGTGTAGTGCGTGATGGCCGAGGTCCAGATTGCAATGTTTGGAGCAATTTCATACAGGTTGTTATGCTGAAACCATACATTTTCATTAAGATTATAAGGACTGCATGTTGTTATGTAGACCATACCAAAATCAAGCCTATATTAGACATCTTTATTTACATGATAATGGTGCATATGGTTCGTTTTATATATGATGATAAATTGAACTTAATAAGGTAATAAATTTCGGGTTTTGTTGTCGATATGCGCTTTGAGATCTTTATAGGTAGTTGGATTTTTATTATGAATGCAGTATGGATTGCAACAGCCCATTTCTTTAATAAGGGCAGACAATGGCCTTCCTCCTTGGCGCCTAGGTTTGCAAGAGGTAGTTTTTTTCTCTATCCAATTGCACAAATGTAGCTATTTACTTGCTTTTTTTGACAGTGTGTTTTTCTTTTATTTTAATTGGAGGCTCTGTTTTAGATTTCTGGTGGACCTTAATGCTACGTTTGTGTAGAGAGCTATCATTACACGTTTTTAGAAATTCTAATATTTTATAAAAACAAGATAAATTTATATTATCCGTTTGCAAGAATGTAGTTACCAATATTTTATAAATTATGCACTCAGTATTAAATAGAAATCTCAATTATCTAAAATGAGTTAAATCCTTGAAATAAGGAGAAAATTAAATAAAACTATTGAAGTTCATTTTAAATTGGTTTAAAGGTTTAAAGAGGCCAACAAAACATAAAATTTCAAAGATATTAGAAAGGATTTGAACTCTCATCAACAACATCCAAGCCTTAATCCCAAAAGATTTTGGAGTTGACTAACATGAACGATCCATGATAATAGAGCCAAAAGAGAAGAAAGAAGAATAAAAAATAAAGTTAGGTAAATCGGATTAGATAAATATAAATATGGCATAACAATAACATAAATACATAAGAATG